CGAAATTATTGACAAATAGGAAGCCTGCGGTCCCTCGATGTGTTGTAGGTATGCTGCGGATCAGTCGCGATGAAGGTGTTGAATGAAGGAGGCTGGAGGAACGAGGTCGGAACTGGCCGAGGAGCGTTCCGACGAAGGCGCAGGGCGTGTCTTGGAACCCGAGAACGCGTAAAATACGACCAACAAATCATCGCTTATCTGATGCTGCATCTGACATATCCGTCAAGCTTCTGTAAGCCTGTCAAGATGGTGAAACCACGCAGATCGATCTCGGTCGGGATACACCTTCCAGCTCCCTCGTGCAGCGCGCCTGCCACGCGAGCAATGACGTGCGACGATCTCCGACGAGCGCGTGCGTGACCATCGCCAGGTTACTAAACTACGCAGTCCGCAACATACATCATCACCTTCCGGCCATCGCGACGTTCGCTGGGCTCCATATTTATTTCGTACGGAGCCATCAGCCACAACTACTCACGTCCTATGACGCGCCTGTGGCTGTTGTCCATTGGTCGTACCGGTCTCCGCTGGATCCGCTAAATGCTGCTCACGCCTCGCACCTACTCCCTCGCTCACATCGCCGACACGGGCCGCAAACGCCCTGAACCCTCGTACTTTGTGTGTGTACAGTCGCGGAAGGAACGCGAAGCCGAGAAGAAGCGCGCGCTGAAGATGTTGCTGTTGCATCAAAAGGGGAGCGTCAAGGTGGGAGAGGTTGTGAGGTGAGTTCTCAGGGTCTCCCGGCGGGATGCATGGACGCTGTAGGCACTGTCTATACGAGATGGGCAGTGCGCGACAACGTTTAGGGAGATTGTAGGACACATTACTAAGTCGCCATGCAGATACACGCTCACATACACCCCCTCCGAAGACCGCATATTACCGCCTCCTTCCTCCCTCCACGTTCGCATACGAAACTCTTCCGCCATCCCTCTACGCGCCGCATACCTCCACGGGCCATACACGATTCACGTATCCGCCTACCCTTCAACATTCAACCCGAACAAAAAGTCCGACGCAACATACGGCGAGCCTGACTTTGAGCCTAATGTCAAGGCTGGTGGATACTGGAACACCAAGTTGACTGTTCCGGAACAGTATAGGAGCGATATCAGGGACGATGACGGCACCCCGAAGAGCCTCACATGGATCATCGAGATCGCGTCGCAAATTATCTTCTCCAATTCCGCGTCTGTAAACTACGAATTGCTCGTGGCACGCGACGAACGATCGCTAGACCTAGGCTTCACTGCTGTCACTGGCAATAGCCACGGAACTCCAGGAAAAGTACAAGATCACCAACAGGGAAGCCAGAAACATGTTTTGCACCATCCGGCACAGCCTAAGGGGGTGTATTCAAAGGCGGTCAAACTAGTGGTTGACGATACTACGAGCTTGTGGAATACACCGGAACTACCAGAGTGGAAAGAGGAGGACGAGGTCGCTTCAAGAAAGTCGAAAGATCACAATATCCCAACGGAAAGCCACCAGAAGAAGAAGAACATACACCTTGTGATAGTAACGCATGGTCTACACAGCAATCTCGGCGCGGACATGCTATATCTGAAAGAGAGCATTGATGCGACGGCAAAGCAAGCGCGGGAAGATCGAAGACGGCGGCGAAGAGAGGAAAGAGGAGCCAAGAAGACCGGATCGGATCAAGATGCGTCGACAGCACCATTGTCAGGCGGCCAAGAGGACATACCAGATGACGAGGAGGATGACGATGAAGAAGATGTGATTGTTCGAGGTTTCGACGGCAACGTAATACGTACAGAACGTGGCATCCAGTATCTCGGGAAGCGGCTCGCTAAGTACGTGTTGAACCTGACCTACCCTGACCAACCATACCTGCCGATCAAGAAGTCCATGGGGCAGAAGTTGTCCAATACATTTTCGCCAACGAAAGACAAGCCAGACGAAGGCATACCGTCCCATCACGGTAGCAGTGTGATGCACACTTCCCCGGGACATGACAAGCGCGCATATAAATTCACAAGCATCAGCTTCATTGGCCACTCTCTCGGAGGACTGGTACAGACGTACGCAATCGCCTACATCCACAAGCACTCACCTAACTTCTTCGACACAATCAAGCCCATCAACTTCATCGCTATGGCGTCTCCATTCTTAGGATTGAGCAATGAGAACCCCACATACGTGAAATTTGCTCTGGACTTTGGCCTAGTGGGGAGGACAGGCCAGGATCTCGGTCTTACTTGGAGAGCACCGACATTGGCAAAGAGCGGCTGGACGGCTATGGGCAACGTGTTTGGTAACCAGACGCAGGATCAGCATCAGGAAGATCCCGGCGCAAAGCCTCTGCTGCGCATCCTGCCAACTGGCCCGGCGCACCAAGTCTTGCGAAGATTCCGAAACCGTACTCTGTACTCCAATGTTGTCAACGATGGTATAGTACCATTACGGACAAGCTGTCTTCTGTTCCTAGACTGGAGAGGCTTGGGTCGTGTTGAAAAGGCTCGCAGAGAGAACGGTCTCATCGGCACAGTAGCGGTATGGGGCTACGGCCAGATTACTGGGCAGAACTCTTCGCCAAACCCCTCTAGAATTGGATTCTCAGACGATGAGGGTTCCGGGGTCGAATCACCAACCTACAATGGCAACGACACTACCGTACCCCTGCCAGGCGCCGACGTCACAAATCAGGAAGACGAAGTACAAGTATCTACTGCAGAGCCAACAGCTCATCAGGCCATCGAAGGAGGGAAGAAGAGTCCAGAAGCCAAAGAGCCAAACGACCCGTACTTTCAGCCGCAAAACACGTTGATGCAGTGGTGGAGTTATATCAGGCCGACTGGAAAGCACACTTCGCGCGACAAGAAGATGTTTAGTCGTAGTCAGACTATTGGGAAAGACGAAGAAGACGAGCTTTCTCCGGCTGAAGCAGATCACGCGACATCGTCACATAGCGCACAACCAAGGAAGCGACCCCAAGCAACCCGTGGAGACTCAATTGTCGATAATCCCAAGAGCCACCTAGCACCACCCAAAACGACCATCTTCGAGTCTGCTGGTGACTTGATCAACCCTCCTGTTCCTCCCCAATCTTGGATCACAGACCCATCCACTCGAGCACGCACCATCTTCCACGACAGAATTTACCATCCTGAAGACATTCCACCGCCACCTACGAAGACGAAGCCAGTGCGCAACTTCTCTGGTGATAGTACTGCTTCAAAGGCATCGACAACAAGTGTCGACGAGAGTGTGATGCGCGTGGAAGAGAAGATTGCTCGCGCTTATCATAAGGACCTTTCTTGGCGCAAGGTTCTCGTCAGCCTCGAGCCCGACGCTCATAACAACATGATAGTGCGTCGTATGTTTGCTAATGCCTATGGTTGGCCTGTCGTCAAGCACCTTTGCGATACGCACTTCGCAGACACTTACTCGGCAAATACGCGAGATGAAGAGGAGCCCGCCCTTGATCGTGCACAAGCCGTGAACAAGCCAATCAACGAAGATGGCGAACACGTCAAGGGACAGGAGCGACTGCAGCCACCTATCGAGCGCACTGATAGCGAGATGAGGGAAGTCGCGGACGAACTAGCCCCGCTCAAGCCGCCCAGTCTAAGGATACCCAAGAGATCGAATACGACCGACTCGACCCGTAGTGTGGGTTCGGGCGACTGGGACAGTATTTACTTCGGGGAGACTAGTGACGAGGAGGATGAAGTGGATGACCGCAACGCTGTCCAGAAGTTCTTCCAGCCTAACATGCCCAGAAGCCCGCGAAGTCCTTCCGGAGGTCCACCCAAAACACCGGATGGCAAAGGCACGAGCGATGCAGACATCTCCGACTTCCTCCATGGATCCAGCACACTTGAGGTTCACCGAGGTCTTGGCGCAAGTCCCAGCAGCAAGTCATCGAAGTCAGCTACATTGACCCGCGAACCGGATTCCATGGAGTCGACTGGCGAACCACCCAAGGCTTCTGAGGAAGCAAGACCGGTAACACCTGCTGGTAGGATCAGCGGAGTTGGGTTGAGGAGTTCTATCGATATCCCTGCGTCGCCAGAGGCTGGACGAGCAAGAAGTGGGAGCACGGTCACTGAGCAGGTCGCGAGGCTTAGCAGCCCCAAGAGCGACAAACATACAACGGGCTCATAGCATCGAGTTCGTCGATGGTTCAGACAAGCGATGGCAGCCCTTAGACGCAGGAGTTCGAAGTTGCGACGTCGAGATAACATCCGCGTTTCCAGCGTGTAGCACAGGTTCAGAAATCTTCCCTGGTCTATTCTTCAACTTCTTGTGAGGGTCAGTCAAGCGTTTTTGGTCTCGGGTGCAGTGGGTGTTACGTGACGTTGGGTTTGAGATCAGTGCACAGAGACGGATGCTACACGAGCGAAGTCATGGATCGTAGCACAATCGCGTACACAAAGATACCCCCAGATCTTATTACATGGTTTGTAGGAGCAAGGGCCTTCTTTTTCTCGTAGCATCGTTTAACTCTATTTACTCTATAATTCTCTTCTTTGGGGTCGTTCTTTCCGTCGCTATATGCTCCTTCCCAAATCTGTGTCTCTTCAACAGGCGTCACCGTACGTAGTAAACATATCGGAAGCGGCTGATTTTCTCATTTTCCCCTTCACTCGCTGGTCTCGAGCTTCTCCTCGCCTACGTCATCTTTATGCCGCGCCTTCCCCATTCACTGCCGCTATTGTGCGGCAACACGCTCCGTTTGTTGGTGGACAGAGCTCCAAGCTCGGTTTGTTGTGGTCGAGTCACCACTTGAGCGGATCACCACATTCCACAACCGCAACACGATTGCGATTGCCCAATGCAACGATAGTTGTCGCGCTTCTACTTTGGTCTGGGTCGCTGGCTTCGTTCTGGTTTGATTGCCTCGTCGCACTCGAATCGCGCACCTGCACCACCGCCAATCGGCACTACCCTACAGTACACGAAAATATACCTTCTTTGGGATAATGGTCGTACCTGATTCCGCCAACCCCGCGTGGAGCATGCGCCCTGCCGCCGTGATGGTTGGCGGCCAGAGACGCCGCAACACGCGCCGTTCCAACGCACCGCGCTCCAACACTACGCCCAATCTCGGTCTTGACTCACTCGCCGGGAGGGAGAATGCGAGTGGTGTCACTGCAGCACAGCATACGGATCAAGTTGAACATTCTCATGTTTCACCTCCTCCTGCGCCCTCGAATCCTATGGTCAACTCCTACGTACACAACAGTGGCCCTCCAGGCGACCGTCATCGCCCTCTCCCAGCGCGTCCATCCGATGGCTTTTCGACTATGCCGGCCGCCCATTCGCCTACACCCACAACAGGAAGCGCATCAACAGTAGCCACGGAGGGCAAGAAAAGGCATGGCAAATTCGGCCGCAAGGCAAAGGACCAAGACCGCCCGAGCAGCTCCCATGAGCCTACTCCCCAGCTGTCGCCTCTACCGCCGTTGACGCCTATCAAGGCTGCACAGTTGCTGGGCGTGGACACTGGACCTAGCCCTGGTAGACCCCGGAGTACCTCTGTAGGCCGTCCGGCCCAGAACGATGGCGGCTACGATAGCCTACCGATACGCCCGATATCGACAAGGCGAGGCTCTACGTCGGCAATAACCACTCAGAAGAGCGCGTCGGACAGACAGATGAGATTCACGGAAGAGGGCCTTGACATGGAGCCATCAAAGCCCAAGGGCTTCTGGGGCAACACTAACCGGAAAGCTCAGCGAATGTTAGGCTTACTCCCATCTGCACCATCTAATGCTAGCCGTGAAGCCGACATGGGGCGCGTCGCAGCTGTTTCTCTAGCGTGGCGTCCAGAAGAACATACTGATGCATACTGCAGTAGCGACGCCGAACGCCATGGCCAGTTCCGTTCGCTCCCACCAGTTCCGCCCGTTGTTCCCGAAGCTCCGAGAAGACGTATGCGCAAGAAGCTTCCTAAGGAGCTCGAGAGGATGGCACCCATTACAGAGACGTCGCATGATGAGCTGCGCACTTCCTACAAAATCAGCGAACATGATCCTGAGCTGAACGACATCTCTGAGTATGCGAAAGCTCCTTCCAAGGCACCGCTATCTCGGTCGCGTAATGAGTCATTGCTCACAACAGACATCAGGTACGACTTGGAAGAGGACGACCTCTCAATCACAGACGAAGTCATTGATGAGGCGGCTCACGACGAGCAAGAAGACTTCGCGGCCCATCCTGGTAACGAGGTTGAGGTCAAACATGGCGCAATTCTGCAATCTACGGTGTTCCGCCTCCGCGGCCCACTGCAAACGGTTGAAGACCGTTTGCTTGACGAAGCAGAGGCGCGACTAGCACTTAGCAAGGCTATGCTAGACCAAAACGACGATGATAGACTCACTCTCGACGACACATACGCTACCTTGAAGGCGTCTAACGAGGCCATGAAAGCGGATTTTGCTGCCGCACAGCGTTGGCACGCCGCCCCAGATGAGTATGAGCATTGCGGTTGTGCGGATAGGCAGGTTGACAGCGACGACGACGATGACTTGGAACCCATTTGCAGCTGCATTGACTTGGATGAAGAGCCCACCGTACATGTCGCCACCGCCGTACCAATGCCCGTACCCTTCATGCGGGTCACACCCGGCATGGTCAAGCTTATCGACATTCCGCCTAGGAGGAAGAAACCAGCTGTACCGCTGGCACCGCCTGCACCACCCACACGAGTCGCACCGGTTGCACCCAACCCGCTGCCTGTGCTAGCCTTATCTAGTCAGCTCAAGGCGCCCTTCAAACCTACCTACTACTTTCAACATGACGAGAAGATCAGTCCATTCAACGAGCGCAGTGAGCATGTGGAGGTGCGTAAGTATCTCTCAACTACTACAGATGCAACTAACAAAGTCTAGCCTACCGTGATGCGTGGTCATCTTTCCGCTAGCGAGTTCAACCGTCTCGACAAGGACAAGAGAGTGAAGCTTCCCCGCGACGAGTCACGTCTTCTTGTCCAAGACTGGATGTCTGACTACGACATCACAAAACAACGCCCTCTTTCCGAACGTCTCGATCTCGATGTACTTGCCGACCAGCAAATCCCTCCTGCCCCATTTCCCAAAGAAGATCACGCTACACTTCCCCTCCCGCCCAGTTCGTTATCCAAAGAGCACTTTTGTCTCAAGGACGGCCACATATTCCACCCCATCAACCTTAAGACTGTACCCGACGAAGTCGCCATTAACAGCCTGGAAGTCCGACCGTATCTGCATACCGCTGTTGGCTACAAGCAGCATGTTTCTGTTCCTGTCTTCTGCGACCGTTGCGACGAAGACGTCAAAGAAGACCTCTGGGAATGCGACATCGATGTTTGCCGCATGGGAGTCTGCAAGCAGTGTGCAGAGGATATGGAGCATGAGTGGCAGGAACGTGTCGCTGATGCTTGGACTCGTTGAGGGTCGTACATTGATGGTGTTCGCGACAAGTCACGACGTGTATATTGAAAGATTGGATTGAAGGTGGATGTAATAATATGAAGGGGTGTGCAAAAGTAATGATCAGACGAGGAGCTGAGCAAACGATGTAAATACCCGACGATCGCCGTAGATAAGGTATGATGGAGTAATGACTCTATGATCGATACGCCAGCTTTTCCTTGCCCAAATATCATAGTTGGCCTAAGCCGTTCGCTTTTGTATGCTTTCAACGCCGAACCCGTTCACCAAAATTTTCGTGCCGTCCCAGGAAATATCCGCCAAAGAACAGAAGGATGCACCCGTTCAGACACAAGTCTCCTTCGTCTCACCCAAAACTTTCATCTCATCACTTTCCTCCTCCTTGATAAGGACTACATCTCCATCCAACCTCCAACCACTCCCACCCTTCTCTTTCTCCTTCTCCTTTCCCTTCACAGCTTCCCGCTTATCACCCATGACCCCCACTGCGACCGGTGCAGGTGCCGAACTAGCGAAATACGCCCCCACAGCCCCCAACTGGCCCGGACCCGCCTGCAACCCATGAATAAACTCACTCCTCAAATCCTCATGTTCGTTAAACAGCCTGTCCCACGCGTCTTTCAAACCCGTCGAGAAATGACCTTGTTCGTGCGACACGGATAGCGAGCGCAGGATAATAGCGTTGGGGTTCTGCTGCGGGCCCGGCTGCGACCAGTACGATGTTAGGGTGTGGAGGAGGAGGTTGCGGAGGGGAGATGGAGTTAGAATTGTTGAGATGGGAGAGGATGAGGGTGTGGTTTCCCGCCATACGTGGTCGATGAGCGTGGGTGTGAGGGCGAAGTGACGGCCTATACCGGAGTATATGTGTTGGATGGTGTGGTTCATGAAAGATAAGGCACCGAGGCGTTGGGCGAGGAGCCAGGCGTGGATTGAAGGGGGGATGGGTTGCGGAGAGGTTATGTTGTGTGGGATTGGAGGGGGTGGCATGGTTGTTCGGGTTGGGGTTTGAGCGTGAGTGAGCGGGTGGTTGGGCTGGAAGTGAGACGGCATCTGAGGGGTTAGTTGCTGAGGTGCTACGGTTGTTGCTGGAACGGAAACTGTCCTGTTTGCGCTGGCTGTCCTCGGGTAAAGATTGGCGTTGTTTGAGGGAGTCCTCGCGTCGACGTTGGATGGGTATGAGTCCTTGTAGATGAACTTGAGGAAGAGTCCGAAGATGGCGGGATCCACGTCTGGCAACCTGATGGTTTTCTCTTCGTTGCCAGTGTTCTCTTTCGTATGTTCCTCTTTGGCAAGCTCTCCATTCTCCTCTTTGATCACCACCACGTCATCGTTGGAAGTGGAGAGTTTGCGCTTTTTGCTAGCCGTATGATCCTTCAACACTGTGGCGTTGATGCGAGCGATTTGGTCGCGGAAATAGATGGAGTGGACACAGAGTAGAGCGACAGGAAGGTTGTAGGTCCGGGATGATGGGTATTGACCGACAATGACTGTGACGGAGCTACCCTGAATCCTTTCTTGGCATTAGAGGAGTCGCTTCAGACTACGACATCACCTGCTTACATATCGAGGAACATATCGGAGTAAGTAACCTTCTGTGGGGCTGCCATTGGGGGAGGCTGCACTGGCTGTAGATTTGCTGGGTGCTGTGTGGTGACGCCCATCTCCGACTTTCCAGTTGCGTTTGAGTGAAGGTTGCTGGTATGATCGACTTTTGGAGTACAGGCAGGTTGGTGGAGAATGGAGGAAGCCTTCTACCGCAATAGACAGCTTGTATATGCGACGGACTTGTAAGAGGTTAGCCAACGAGAGTGGCGATAAAACGTGGCAGTGAGCAGTGAGCAGTCAGCAGTGAGAGACAACCTCACCTGGTGTCAGGTAAGACTGGGCTGCTAAGGCAATATTGCGGCATGGGTGTGTCATAGAGCCGGTGCTATAATCAGTCGTTGGTCGGCAGGTAGTAGTGCTGCTGTCTTTGGCGCTTCACGACTTGATGACAAAATACACATCGTAGCAACAGTCAATCGCATAGTGAACGAGTTTGGGGGTATATGATGTCGTTATTTAATTCGTTATATAGTAAGCGGTCTCCTTTAGGTTACACTACCTGGGTATCAACACTGACTGCGACAATCGCCCTGACAGCCCGAGTTATTTCGGCTCTTGCTGCCCTCCGAGTACAACGTAGCATCATCCATGATGTCATCCAACTCCACATCAGCTTTCCCTGTCATGCGGAAGCTGGCCTTGGCCGGGCATGTCACGACCGAAGAGTGTTTGTCGCTATTCGCCACCGAGCCACTCTCCTCCATCTTTGTGAAACCGCCACGGTTGCTCGAGCTGTACGTCCTCTTATTGTCCGTCCACCTTTCCACATCATGGCAACGTGTAGCGCCATCGCCGAAGAGGTTCTTGTGTTGTAGAAGATTGACAAGGCGGTTGAGGACAGAGAACTCAATCTTGAGCTTGATGCTGTAGATTGCCGTCTTGTATGTGGTTTGGATTTCGTAGTGGCCGGAGAATTGGACCGCGATAAGCGTAATGTCGAAGGCCAGGACTGCGACATTGACGATGATCAAGTGGATGAAAAGCTTTCGTAAAGATCCACGTCGTCGACCACAATCTCCACGGAGCATCTTTACTGTTCGGAAGATGTAGATAACCGATATGGCCATCTCTGCAGGCGTACAAAGTCAGTGTCTATCTCACATGCGGCTCGGATGGAAACACTTACCCTGGACTGAAATAGCAACAATCTGGACCTTGTCGTAGATCTCGAATCCCGGGAGAAACTTGAGCGAATCTTTGGAGTTCGCGCCCATGGCGAAGGTGAATAGAGGGACGCCGAGAGCGATCGTGGTGAAGATGATCATGTAGAGCACCCATCTGATCTTCCTGGCGTCCGCGACAACAAGATGCAGGCGAGAATACAGTACAAGAGACTGTCCCGGGCACATGGTGACCCAGCCTACGCCGATAATGGCGCTCGACAGCAAGTCAAGCTTCGTGACCTGGAAGAATTTGAGGATGAACCCAATGGCGTGAGGGGCGATTCCTCCTGCGGCGATGAGCATACTCCAGAAGTACAATCCGCGGCGTTGTTTGAAGACGGCGAAGATGAGAAAGAGGATCTCAACCATGTTGTACATTCCGATGGCGAGGAATGCAGACATGGTCATAAGGATAGGAATGCTGGCCTGTACGCCGCCAGTGACGCCGGACTCTGAGTCTTTGTCCGACATGGTAAAGGTAGTCAGGTGTCTTTCCGTCGACTTCGAAAGTAATGAGATGAATGAGGGTGAGGTAGAGAGCGCATTCGTTGAGATGGCGAACTGAACTGGAGAATCCGATATCCACGTGGAATCCTGGGGTATTTCAATCAAAGAGAGTGTTGGTGGCCTTGCGGATCGACGCAGATGCTGCAAGATGCTGATCAGCGAACATGTTGCAACTATAATTCAGTGTGGTTGCAGTGGTGGCAGACGGTTCACCATGAGAGGAACGAAGACAGCAGAAGGCGTTGCGGACACTACCCCAGAGACTGACTCGATGCATGGGTGCCTGACGGGTTCGTGGCGTTTGTGGTACACTTGGCCATGTCATGAACCATACAGGTGAAGACGGGGTCACGACGGGGGCGCGAATTTGCGAGCCCCAATGCTAGTCCTTGGTGATCGTTGATTGGGCCCGGGGGACCTAGTGGCGCATGGCATGATCGTGGATTTCCACAACGGGGCGCCGGTTCTGCTTCCCCATCATCGATAACATCGGATCAGCATGTTTAAGCGAAAAAGCAACCAGTCGGAATCCAACGACCAGGTCAATGCCCTCGTACGTTTGAACTTACGTTGCTGCCCAGTTGGGTTGCACCTGTACCTGAGTGGTTTCTTCGCTTTCGCGTCAAATCGGCGACTCAGCCGAAGCGAAACTCTGTCGGTCGCCCCCATGATGGAAATAAACCCTGGGTAGACTGTCGCCCATCTCCGTGCCGTTCTGCGGTATTTCCAGAAGGGATCAACAGGTATAAGGCGTCCATGCGAAGAACTTCTGGTCGTTTCCTGCATATGCAACGCATGCGAAGGTTTTCCTACACACTCGAGCGCTGATTAGCGAACCACTCGTTCTCGTTCCTGCAATAACTTTGCCACAGCATTCGTCGAGAGCGGGAGGTCCGTGGACGGCTGAACACGCAGCGTCGGTCCCGTGCGCATTAATATCGCCAACACCCTTGGCCATGGTGTTGCGACATCTTGGGCTTGCGCCATCCTACATCCGCAATGGGAATCGTTGATAGCGATGGAATTTGGTTCACACAGCCCCTGCATGGACGCGAAACACAGTATCGCATCACCAAGACAATGCGGCTCTTTTTCGGCGCTTTTGCCTTCCAAGACGGACTATAATCGCTTCGCACTTGTAGCCCGAACCTATCACTCGAAGTCAGCTAAGCTACATGTGTAGGCCTTCCGTGATTAGTGATGGCTGTTGACACTCTATACCCGGATAGTAAGGTACGATTGTGGGAATAAGAGATTAGTGAATGGATTCATGGACTATGCTACGTGGCTGTCCGTGTTAAACAACTTGAAGTCGCTCAGGTAGAGTCGTGAACCGCGTCATCGACGATGGTCGTAACTCTATAACCGAATGCAACCCAACAAACCGCTGGAAAGCCTATCTAGTCCCAGTAACCAGGAACCAAAGGTGGCAAAATACAGCACTCGTCATTGTATAGACGATGTCGCTAAAGATGTCCGTTTAGACCTTGGGCTCAGCGTGGACATTCTCGACATGACCATGGTCGTGGCCGTGACGTCCGACCTTGAGGTTACCGGCCTCAATGTCGCGGGTGACACGGTCGAGACGCGACTCAACCTTGCCAGCCTTCCAGGCAGGAAGACCAGAGTCGAAAACGTCGTCCATCTCTTCAAGGGTCTTGCCCTTAGTTTCCGGGGCAGTCAGGAACATGTGGATGAAGGCAACGGCGTTGAATGTTCCGAAGA